GAAAGTAAACAACTTAAAATACATAAATCTTATTGGTCCAATCAAAGCTAGAAAATTAATCAAATTACATCCAACATAATTTTATAACATGCTTAACACATGTCGGTAACTTCATCAACCTCACTTTTGTAAGAAAATAAGATGAGAGAGTGTAGTTTTAGGGTTATGTAGTACAAGGATAATTAAGATATTTAAGAAATAATATTAAACGGGTACCCGCGGGTATGAATATCATCATACCCGCCCCCGCCCCATTTATAAATGGGTAAAAAATTATCCGTCTCCATTATCCGCGGGTACCCAATTAGCCTATTCATTTATTATCCATAGCGAATTTTATTCACAGATACCCGCGGGTGCAAGTATTTTTGCCATCCCTACACATATCTAAGGTCAATTAAGGTTATTTTTAATCAGTTGGGCATATAAAATATATATACTGACACAAGGAATGTAAAATAAACTAAAAATTATGCATTTATAAAGTATAATGATGCGTTGCCCACACACGAGATCAACTAAGTCTTAGAGGAGAACAACACATCATCCACTCCAAGGGACAACTTTCTAATGAGGGATTTTCAACAAATTGGGATCTTAGAGCATCACAACTATCTTAATCCACACAATGGGATGAACAACTTCAAAAACATCTCCTCTAGTCCTAGTAATCAACAACTCAGCATCACAACACAATTAACACACAACTAGTACAAAATTTGAGCAAGTCACGACGTCGTCTAGAACTAGAAGCTGTTGATGGATATATAATAAACTTGCTCAGCGACCTAGTTTGTCATTAATTATAAAATATCCATTTAATTTTCACTATAACTACCCATGACGACCAAGTTTAAACATTAAACCGTAAGATGCATGCATAGAGAAAAACGCAAGTCCGGAAAAGAGAACTCAAGTCTGAAGAAATGGGACCAAGTCTAAACTGCTATTTGATTGCTAATGGCTTCCCATTTATAAAATAATATATTAATAGAAAAAAAAACTACGTAGTGGGTACAAGTTCTGTTGGACGAGGTAATTAATGTTGAAAAAATTGCTTGACTTTGATCAAGCACGTATATATGTATAGTTAATTACTAAAGAATGGTTCATCACCAAATAAAAAATTAATTGCGGGTAAACATAAATATATGAAACTAGTTCAACGGTTCATCCTTATAAATAGCAAAGCTTATAAAGGCAGCAAAACAATTCAGTTCTCAATCAGAAGCAATTACTTACCCAAAATCTTACAAGATTAAGTTTGAGAAGCAAGATGAAAGTTGTGTATTTCCTCGTGGCCATCTTGGCTTTGACATCTTCTGTTGCCTTTGCCTACGACCCCAGCCCCCTGCAAGATTTTTGTGTGGCATTAAATGACACCAAGAATGCTGGTATGCACAGACATTGATTCCTCATGAGTCTTGCAATGCCAATTCTTAGTTTAGTTTATTTCTTTCACATTTACATCATCATGAGAATGATTATAATTGGTCTTTTAAATCTAATTAAAACTCTGTCTTGTTAATTTGTAGTATTTGTGAACGGGAAATTCTGCAAAGATCCCAAGCTCGTGAAAGCAGAAGATTTCTTCACACATGTGGAGGCTGGTAATACCTCGAACCCACTTGGTGCACAAGTGACTCCGGTCTTTGTTGATCAGCTACCAGGATTAAACACACTTGGTATATCATTGGCTCGTATAGATTTTGCACCCAAGGGCTTAAATGCTCCTCACACTCACCCACGTGGCACGGAAATCCTTATAGTCATTGAGGGAACTCTATATGTTGGATTTGTCTCATCCAATCAAGATGGAAACCGTCTCTTTACCAAAGTTCTGAACAAGGGCGATGTGTTTGTGTTTCCAATTGGCCTCATTCACTTCCAATTAAATGTGGGATATGGCAATGCTCTTGCCATTGCTGGTCTCAGCAGTCAAAGTCCAGGAACTATCACTATTGGTAGTGCTTTGTTTAATTCTACTCCACCTATTTCTACTGAGGTTCTTACCAAAGCCTTCCAAGTTGATAAGAGCACAATTAATTACCTTCAAAAGCAATTCTGGTACAACAACAACTAGTTAGGTTGAAGACACAAGTATGATCATTTCATTTTTATTGTAATGGATTTCATGTTTAGATAATTAAATTATTAAATTCCTTCATGCATTTGACCTTCCTACGAATAACTTATATTGTAATAAATAAAAAGGAATGTGGTTTATATTATTTATATAGTGTTGCTATTCTATTTATTTGAAATTCAATTTTGTTTATGTGCCTGTCTGAAGGGCACATTAGTAATCTTTTCGTACTCTGAGAGCCGAACGAGAGCTCCAATCGAATATTCCGGTGAGAGGGAGGGTACTTGCAAAAGGCACTCTGACGCTCAAGTCAGGACAAGCACAAATATCGATAGTAATTAATGAACAGTGACGTTACCTCGTGACAAGAATTATTTATACTGACATTAATGGGTCCTGATTTTCCTGAGCCCTGCAATAGGATTATCGTATTAGGTAATACGTCCCTAATCGACTTATCGGTGTGATTAACCCTTAATTCTTGATTAGGGGTAATTCCTGAGTCCATGGTGTACTGCACTTGGGACTTCGGCTACTTGGTAGCTGATCGGGTGTCGGCTACTAGGTTCGGCTGTTTGGTGGCCGATTGAATGTCGGCTATCCAGTGGCCGAGTGTTCTTACCCGTACACTTGCCCCCCAGCCTTGGAGAGGAATAAACTCTTTTCAAGGGTACAAGGTTGAAGCTGATTTCCACGTGTAAGTCGAAAGGTTGCGCAATCTAAACCGTTGGATCTTGAAGATCTGACGGTTATGATTTTCAAATTTCGAATTCTCCCACCTTTTTTCGTGGCTATAAATAGCAATGAGTGGTAGAGTCCCCCCACGCGTATTGCTTTCAGTCGAGGTATACTGTTTGAATGATTCTGATACAGAATCGAGTGTGCCGAGTGACTACGTTTATGCTTCGAAAAGCTTGGTAAGTGTTTATTATGTTTGAGACTCCCAAAAGCTCTTCGGCCAGTAACTCTCGGCCATCATCATCCGAGGGGTCGTCGTCCAGTGATTCTAGTCGGTCGAGCACGAAGATTCTATCCCCAGTCCAAGCTGAAAGACCTGATGGGAGTGCAACCTCTTCGGGGGAAACCTCCACCAGCAGAAGTCTCGAGATTCGGCCTAAATCGAGGCATGTATCGAATTGGCAACAGTATGGGCCATCAGAAGTATGTGACTATGAATGGGTGAATGGAGAAGTGACGTCCTATTATTCTCGTTACCGAGACACGACCATGATTACCAACCTTCTAGAATATACCAATTGTCTAACCTTTGACGCAAAGGAGGAGTCATATCCTATCGGCGTTTGGTCTTGCCAAAACAATGCCTTTCCCAACCCCGACATGGTCTGTCTAGGCCAACATTCCCCGAAGATGGACTCGTTCTACGTATACGATTGCCTTCTTCGAGATCTCAAGGTAAAGCTTCCGTTTGACGAGTTTACGATGGGTGTGTTGAGAGTTTTGAACGTTACTCCGACTCAACTACACCCGAACAACTGGGCTCAAATACAAGGCTTCAAGCACCTACGCCGATGCCTTTGCATTAGGCCCTCGCCACTTCTTTTTCTCTACTTCCACTCGTCCAGGCCGTCCGAGCTGGCGAAGTTGGTGTCTCTAAGTCGAGTAGGGGATCGACAACTACTGGATAGCTTTACTTTTTCGTACAAGAACTTCAAGGCTAGATTTTTCCAAGTGACAATTCGCCCGAACGGACAATGCTTCTTTTTTGGTGAGGACGATAGGAGCTTATTTCCATTTTACTGGACACGCGCCCCTCGGTCGTATGATGTTGTGCCGAAAAAGATGCTTTCGGCCGAAGAGCGAGAAGATTTAGAATTACTGCTTCGTAGGAGCTTATTTCCATTTTACTGGAAGATTTTTAAAATAAAAAGGTCTTGGATTAGGGTTTTTAAACCCTTATGAATTCTTGTCAATGTCATTGAGCTTTGATTAAACGATAATATACATCAAGTTCATGAAAAAACATATAATTATAATCAAATAACTCATAATCATTCAAATCATACAAAACCCTCAATTATCATGCAACCTTGTCCCTAAAATATTTTGATGCATAACACCATACAATTCAACATCATCGACAACAAACTTCATCATCGTCCACAAATAAACCATGAAAATAATTCATATTCAAAACTATCTCATCAAACACAAATAATAATAAATCGTAGAAAGGCTTAGGGGTCACCTTGTTACCCATATCCATCTTACGCGCGTAGTGACATATTTAGGAAATTTGTTAAGTGGGGGTAATAAAATATTTTATATCATTTTTATTGAAAAATATATAAAAAAAATTAAAAAATATCATTTTTATATTGTGGCATTGAAGGAGATGAGCATTGTAGCTTCTTGAGTTTGATTCATATAACTATTTCATCTTACTCCTTCGTCTAATCTAGAGAAATAACTATTTGTTAGGGCATTAAATGCTTCAATTAATGCCTTTCACCTAAACGTATTCCTTATCTTTGATAGATCAAGCTACTTATCAGGGTAGTGACGCGGTGGCCATTTTGTAAATAATGTGAACACTTTTAAGATTGATTAAAATTTAACCGATCTTAAAAGTACTGTAACTATTTAAAAAATAATGCAACGCTCTCCCTTAGTCATTCTTCCTCGCATGCGCCTCCCTCAGTCATATTTTAAGATGAATAAATATATTAAGTTAATTAATAATTTATTTAAAATTTTAAAATTTAATTTATAAAAATAATATTTTAAAAGAACAAGCATAATGAATTTACATTGAAAATAATATAATCAACATAATAGTTAGTTTAAGGCAAAATGTAAACATTCCTTGGAACTGAAGTAGTAATCCAGATAAAGAAGTTACATTGTAAGTTTAGCTTTCTCATTCACTAGTACAAAAAAGGTAATCTACGTCGGTTATTTTAAGCTTTTTACGTCAGAAAAAAGTTTGACGTCAAAGCGGAAGACATAAATTTACGTCGGTTGTGAAAATCATCATAAATTTACGTTGGACACTACCAAGATCTGACGTAAAAAAGTTATATACAAAAAAAAACATAACAAGTGCAAGCAGAACGGGCCGTTCTGCTTGGAGAACGGGCTGTTTTGCTTGATAGAACAACCTAGAAGAAAAGGCCAACAACCCAAACAAATAGAACAACATAAAGACTGAATGGAACAAATTGCCACAATAGCAATGCGAAGCAAAAAGGTGTTAGCGATTCATACCTGAGCTGCAACACTATGCGAACAAGTAATGAAGAGTTCACCCCACTCTACAGAAGATAGAAAAAATGATTTAGCAACAAAGGAGAGGGAGAGGGTTTATACATAGAAGAATCTAGAAAAGTGATGAGATCCGAGTGAGTGCGTGTGCCTCCCATGCACTCTTTTTATTCTCTCTCGCTACTTTTTTACGTCGGACTTGGTAGGGTCTGACGTAAAATGTAAAATTTACGTCGGTTACATGTTGTGTTTGACGTGGAGAAGAAGTAGATATGCAATCATTTGATCAACCAGACTTAGTTGATGAATTTATTGAAGATAAATACATATCAAGTGAGGATGATAATGATGATGAGAATGAGAGTGATTTCAATGATACAGATGAACCTTAGGTAATTTATACATTAAATAATTATTTGTATAATTCTTTTGATGTGTAGAATGACTTAAATATAATTTTATGCATAGAATATCTATTATGTTATATGATTTAAAGTTTAAATTTATTCTTAATAATTTGAGTCATTTATTTATTACAAGTCTATTGGATGAAAAAATAAAATTTTCTCTTAAATGTGATATATGTAACAATTTCTACATTCAGATAGCAGATAGAGGTAGAGGTAGAGGTGGTGGTCGTAAAGCACCTCGTGGTCGAGGTTCAAGCTCCGAGTCATTGTTACCCACATAAAGAGACCGACTCCCTATAGTTCATGAAGAACCAATTCCTAATACTCATTCTAGACAGGACACACCTTTAACAGGAGAATGTTCATCGACTCCACAATACCCACCTCCTCCCATTCCTGAGTCTGGGGATTCATCTAACCAAAGGGTTTGGCTATGCTTGAAAGGCAAAGAGTACGTACATTTTAATTTAAAGATCATTTTTCTAATATAACATTGTTTAAATGTGATTTTGACAATATCTTTTTTAATAGATTTGTTCATGCAAAAGGCCCTGCTGATGTCATTTCAGGGATCTTTAAGCAAAAATTTGAGGGAGCATGACCCACTTGGAAGGCTGTGGATGAATCAGTTCGGGACATGTGGTTCGAAGAGTTTTAGGTAATTAAATTTTGTTTAATTTAAAATATGTTGCATGTAGTTTTTAGTATGTTCCCTAATTCATTTTTAATGCAGAAAGAGTATAAGTGGGATCCACAACATGATCGAGCCATATGAAAAACTTTTGAGCATAAAGGATCAACTCTTCTGAAAAATGTTATGCATAAGGTTAGACTAGGTGTCGATAAGGGAAATTGGATCCCTGAAAATTCTCGAGCTATTTTAGATCAACATTGGGCTTCTGAAAAATTCCAAAACAAAAGTAATACTGCTAAAGGGAATCGGGCTGTAGAGAATGGAGCAACAGCCTACACTGGTGGCTCCATATCTGCAGGAGCCCACTTTGAAAAATTGGTAAGTTTATTTCATTTTTTATTTATATTTAGTTCAATTTAATATAATTGATTGGTTAATTGCAATATTAACTTGTATTTAAATTTATATAGGCGAAGGAGCTAAATCGTCCTCCTACTGCTTGGGAATTAGTGGAAAGGACAAAAAAACTTAAGAGTGGAGAATGGGTCAATGATAAAGCCCGCAACATTGCTGTAAGTTAGTCTATTAATTTAAAAACCTTTGCAACACCATGAGAATCAATTAACATTGTTGGTTGCCTTTGTGTGTAAATTATAAGATAAAAAAATTTAAAAATAAGCATAAATGTTTTAAAAAAATATTAAAACGTAGAAACTAGAAGAGATAAAGTAAATAAAATTATATGAATTAAAATAAAAATTTAATACAGAAATAAATATATTGAGCAGATTTATGGTTGCATTAAATTCCCAATAACATATTTTATAAACACTGCTCAGGTTGTGGTGGATACTCTTAACTATGTATTCTGCATGCACCATTTCATTATTTTTCAACCAAAATTTAATTTTTAGTTTCTGCTCTTAAAGGGTTTTTGGTAAATTTATTTATATGTCATAATTAAATTTATTTATATTCATTAATTTAATCATTAGTTGGTAAGTTAACCTTTAGATTTGCTTATTTTCTTAATTTTTAAACGTAAATAATAACTAATTTGAGTGATTTTATATGTAAATTAGTTCTAATTATCTCAAAATTTCTCTTTGACCTAACCATTTAAAAAACAAGTTGCAATAATAAATTAATAATGGAAGTAAAACACAAGAAGCAGGAGAAGAAGTTTCAAATTAAACGTGCTTTCTTTTGTTTGGTTGACGCACGTGGTGTAGACATATATAGTTTCTTAGCACGAAACGAAAAAAATGCTTCGCAGAAATATATATATAAAGTTCTTTAAATATAATACATTATATACTTGTGTATAATATATGTATAAATATATATAATATGTGAATTATTGTGTTTGAGTGGGTAATGTTTTTTAAAAATGAATTATTGTGATCATAGTGGTAGGTTTATAATTAAAGACCTGGTTGGTGTCCTCTAGATGATCGATCCAATCACGAATCATAAATTGAATCCAAGAAGCTGCTATCACATTGAATTGCTTCCCGGTGTCTTTGTATGTCTTCCTCGCTAGAAGTTTTGTGGCTACCACCATAGGATCAGGCTTCAATAGCTGCACACCATGGCAGATTATGCTTTCAAATTACTCACCCTCAAAGGGATAAAATCAAATAAACATTATCAATATTTAGGATAAATTCTAATTAACTACAAAACTGAAAAGTCACTATTGTAAACAGATACATTATGTTTTGTGTCATTTTATAATAATTTTTAATAAAAAAAAGTCACTTTTAATTAGTTTAATCAACTAGTTTATATGATTGATATATAAAATACATCCATGTACTAATAAGACCATCATTCAATCACAAGCAATTGTATAATAAAATAGTATTTATGTAAAATTCATTAGCTTTGTAATGATATGCAAATAAACATGATAGAGCGTGAATCTGGTAGCTTGTTTATATTGTGTTGAGTGTTTCAATGCTAAAATCAAAGAATATGTTGTCTTGAAATTTTTGTTGAAATAATATTTTTTTTATTTTTTTTTGGAGAAATATGAGGAGCGTCTAATTGAAGTCAAACAACAAGCTACACAGGATGGCACAGGGGACTCTGCTTCTACTTGTATTAGTGATACTGAAGTTTATTTGCAGGTGGTTAAAAAGAATACGAAGGGGAACTTGTATGGGCTTGCTGGATTGACTGATGCTTTCATTCGCTCAACACTTCCACAATCTTCTATGTCACAGCTATCACCAGTCATTGCAGGGGTGATAGAAGAAATGCAAAATAGGATAACTGAATTAAATGTTGAGCTTGCTGCAAAGGAAGCAAAGGAGAAAGCATTGGAAGAACATATACGACAACATGATGAGCAGATGCAGTATATACTACGCTACCTCAACATTGACCCTTTAAGGCCAACCCCTCCTCCATCAAGTACTACCCCAAATGATCCTGAGCATGGTGTTGATGATATTCTTGATGAGATAGCAGAAGACCCTTAATTAAGCTTCTTTGTTTTACTTGTTTCAGGATTTTTTGTTCTATTTCACTATTACTTTGTTGAAGTTTAAACGTTTTATCTTATTATCGTGTTTTTAACATACCATATTGACACTTATATTTTATGTCTTTTAGTATGTTCTAGTTTATTATTATAAATTGTGTAATGAATATATTATTAATTCCGTACTCATTAACAGGTATAAATTAATAATTTAAAAAGAATTTAAAAATATTGGTTAGCATTAGCGACCGAAATAGAGACCGAAATGATTCGTAGCTATTTCAAGTTTTTTGTGACCGAAATAGCGACCAAAATATTTTGTAGCTATTTCAAGTTTTTAGTGACCAAAATAGCGACCAAAAGAGTTCGTGGCTATTTCAAGTTCTTAGCGACCGAAATAGCCACCGAAATAATTCGTAGCTATTTCAAGTTTTTAGCGACCGAAATAGCGACCGAAATAATTCGTAGCTATTTCATGATTTTAGCGACCGAAGTAGTGACCGAAATAATTTGTAGCTATTTCATGTTATTAGCAACCGAAATAGCGACCGAAATAATTCGTAGCTATTTCAAGTTTTTAGCGACTGAAATAGCGACCGAGTTTATTCATATCTATTTCAAGATTTTTGCGACTGATTTAGAGACTGATTTTAAAAATGATTTTATTAAATAAATAAAAAAATTAGCGACGAAAATTGCAACCAAAAAATTCGGTCGCAAAATTGGTCTCGAGAAGTTAGGAGACCAATATTATAGCGACGGATTATGACCGTTTAGCGACGGATTTTTTCGGTCACTAACTTGCGACGGAAAAAATTTTGGTCGCTATTATGAATAGCGACCAGGGTTTTAGCGACGACTTTTTTTGGTCGCTATTTTGGTCGCTGAGCCTAACAGCGACTGAAATAACCTAAATAGCGACCGACTTTGGTGGTTGCTAAACTTGATTTTTTGTAGTGTGAGGTGCAAGCACGCTCCTTGGCACTCGCCCATCATCTACTACAAAAAAAATGCTATTTAGTGGGGGTTATTTTACGGAGGTTTTAAAAACCCCCTCAAATTAACATAACTCGCGGCGTGTTGGAGGAATGCTCAAAATTGTAAAAATAGTGGCGGTTTTTATCATTTTTTGAGGAGGTTTATGCCCTCCCAAATTCAGAGACATTTTTTCCTGAAAATTTTTCACCATTTTCCCTCTTTTACTTTTCCCCCACAATTTATTTTCACCCAATCCCTCCAATTTTTACCACGTTTGCCTTTTACTAACTCCGCTCCTCCATCTTCGCTCATTCGTGCACCACTTAACTCATCCGCGCGCATTGCGTCGCTCATCCACTTCCACCGCTTCGCTCAGCCGCGCGCTGCTCCGTTCATCCCCGCGCTACTCCATTCATCTGCGCGTGCAGCTTCGCTCATCCGTGCGTCGGTCCTCCCACATTCTCCTCTTCTCCTCCCTAGACGAAGACATTAGGGCCAATCTCCCACATTTTCGCTCTGCTCAACCCTCTCTGTCGCCCTAGCTTCTGGTGTTTCAAGTATGTTTCCCCTTCCTTTTCTGCAATTTCATCTATTAAAGAGAAAGTGTTTGACAATTATATTGTTGTTGTAGGGTTTGTGATTGGTTGAAAAGATGTTGAAAATGATTGTTTGTTTGATTGATTTTACGAGTTGATTTTATGAGTGGTGTGTCAACCTGGTGGTGTCTTAATTATCTTCTAATGGTAGGCATGATTCTTCACTAATTCGGTGGATTCATTCCCTGCTAATGGTAGTTATTTGCCTGACTTCGATTGGTGACTAACTCCACAACTCAATCAATCCATTGCTATAGCCTATAGTATTGACTTTGTATCCTGGTTAATCTGAAACGTAATTCAACCTTGTTTTAAAAATGCATAGTTTAAAGTCTAAATCTATCTGAATCAACTTTTGACTGAATCGGATTAGTGTGCAGGGAGCATGTGGCTTTTTGTTGTGTTGTGTTGGTGCCTCTAATATTGTTATCCATTTTGATGCACCACATTTGTCTCGGTTCGTGGACAAACGCCACTATGTATCCTTTTCATTTTTTTTCTTTAATAACAATGTTAATGCGTGTCTTTCTTTTGCTGATTCAGCAGTTAAGACTTTATGCATGTTCTAGTTTATACGCAGCTTATTTTCAAAGTCTGTACATGGTTTTTAGTAGTTGATATTTTGAACTTATTATTTGAAGGATATGTTTTCTTAAAATCATCCCATTTTGTATATGTAAAAGGACATAGGATAAGGAGCAACATGGAGAGACTAGAGAAGGAATTACTTGTGTTTGTCTATTTTGTTAACGTGAATTAAGGGGCTTGACTCACAATTGTATTATTAATTGCTAGGAAAGTGCGAATTGGATATCAACTTTGAAAAGACTCATTATATATTGTTAGGAATGTGGCTTCAAATTACAATACACTTCAGTTCTCCCTGTATAATGCACGTTTGCAATTTCAATAGTCAACGTTTCTAATTTCCTATCCTTTTTTTTTCTTTTTCTTTTTTCTGTGGTCGTAGTTAGACATTTAAGTATATAAATATCAGTTCAAGTTTTCACTATATATGACATGGATAAGAGACTCTATTTCACTATAAATTGGTATGTGGCCATGGAGCCATGGTCTTCAATTATTTATTTTCCCCTTAATTGATATATATATTAACATGCCGTCATTACCATTATATATAAATGTTAGGTATATAATTAGAATTACTTTTGTATTAATGATATATATAAATTAAAATTATTATAGGTAACCTTGAGTTTTAAGTATATAAATATCAGTTCAAGTTTTCACTATATATGACATGGATAAGAGACTCTATTTCACTATAAATTGGTATGTGGCCATGGAGCCATGGTCTTCAATTATTTATTTTCCCCTTAATTGATATATATATTAACATGCCGTCATTACCATTATATATAAATGTTAGGTATATAATTAGAATTACTTTTGTATTAATGATATATATAAATTAAAATTATTATAGGTAACCTTGAGTTTTAAGTATATAAATATCAGCTCAAAAGGCAAGAATTCGCTGGGGTAAATATGGTGATCAAAATTCCAAATACTTTCATGCTTGTATCAGGGGAAGACAACGACGTAACCAGATTGTAGCCTTGAAGATGGGTGAGCGTATGGTAGAGGAGGTTCATGAGATCAAAGAAGTAGTGAGGTCATATTTTGAAGAGCATTTCAAAGCAAGAAGTTGGCTTAGACCACGATTGTCACTTGCTGGTTTTCCGGTGTTGTCTAATGAACAAAATGCAAGGTTAGTTGGTGACTTTACTGAGGAGGAGGTATGTTGTTTAATTAGGGAGAGTGACGGTGAGAAAAGCCCAGGGCCTGATGGGTTCAATTTTGCTTTTTTAAAGAGATTTTGGCCTCTTATGAAGGTGGATGTGATGGACTTGCTTGCTGAGTTTCATACTAACTTGAAGATTCCAAAGGCTCTTCTGTCTTATTTTGTGGCTCTGGTCCCTAAGGTTTCTTGTCCTCAAGGTTTGACAGACTTCCGTCCTATCTCCCTGCTGGGGTGCTTGTATAAAATTATCTCTAAGGTATTGGTGAATAGATTGCGTGGTATTCTTCCATCAATCATCTCAGAGAATCAGTCTGCTTTTATTCCTGGTAGACACTTGTTGGATAGTTTTTTAGTTGCTTCTGAGGCTATTGACTATGCTCAGAAATATAAGAAGCAAATTTTTGTTATGAAGATTGACTATGAGAAGGCATATGACTCCGTGGAATGGGACTATCTGTTGTTCATGATCCAAGGGTGTGGTTTTCACGAGAGATGGGTCCGATGGATGGAAGCTTGTGTATGTGGGGGAAGCCTATCAACCCTTGTGAATGGGAGTCCTACAGCAGAAGTATCTTTGGGTAGAGGATTAAAGCAGGGGGATCCGTTGGCACCATCTTTGTTCTTAATTGCTGCGGAAGGCCTCAGATTATTGATGAGTAGGGCTTTAGACATGAATCTGTTTAAGGGTTTACACATAGGCGGTGAAGGTCCGCCGATTTCTCTTTTACAGTTTGCGGATGATACTCTGATTATTGGAGAAGCTACTATGCAGAATCTGTGGTGCTTAAAAGCAATCTTGCGTGGTTTCGAATTAATTTCAGGCATGAAAATTAATTTCCATAAGAGCTGCGTGGTCGGTATTCATTCTGGGGCAGATTTTACTAATTTGGCGGCTGCTTTCTTACATTGCAAAGTGGGTCAACTACCTTTCAAGCATTTGGGCTTACCTCTTGGTGCTAATCCTAGGAAGTTGTATACTTGGAAGCCAATGCTTGATAGCCTTCGAAAGCGTCTATCCTCTTGGAAGTATAAGCATTTATCCATTGGAGGGAGAGTGACCTTAATTAATTCGGTTTTGAATGCTATTCCAATTCATTTTCTCTCATTTTTTAAAGCTCCAAACTTGGTTATTAAGGAAATTGTGGCTATCCAACGTGATTTCTTGTGGAGAGGTGTCAAGGATGGCTCAAAGATTCCTTGGGTGAAATGGGAAACAGTGTGTAAGTCAAAGGTGGAGGGTGGACTAGGAATAAAAGATGTCAGATTGTTCAATTGGGCACTCCTAGGGAAATGGGTGTGGAAGTGCATGCAATCTCCGGGTATGTTGTGGGCTAAAGTTCTCCATCATAGGTATGGTCGTATTGAGTCTTTTTCAAATTGCTCAAATGTGGATAGGAGGACATCTTTGTGGTGGAAGGATATAGTGTGGGTGCTACATCAAGGGAATTGTTGGTTGGACGAAAAGATTGAACGCTGTATTGGTGATGGTACTATGACCCGATTTTGGGAGGATAAGTGGATAGGTGGTTTGCGCTTGTTGGAAGTATTTCCTCGGTTGTTCTCCTTTGCCTTAGACCCATTGTCAGTGGTGGCAGATAATGGAACTTGGGAGGGATCTACATGGGTGTGGCAGGTTAAGTGGAGAAGAGAACCTTTTGT